CTTTTCCTGACTCTTCAGCACTGGCAGCTTCTTCTGGAACCGGGAAACTGAGTGTGTTCTCTGCTTGTCCTGGCACTTCCAGAGTGGCAGTGACTGACAACGCTCTGGGTTCCCACTTTCCTATGCAGTCACAACAAGGCACCTCAGTACCTTGCTTCCTTCCCTCTTGCTACACAAACATGCCTCACAAATTACAGGCTTTGGCCCAGATAGAGGAGGCTGTGTTTATCTGCTATCCATGGGAGTGCCCCTAATGTCCTCTGTGTGTGTGTGTGTGTGTGTGTTTCCCTTTTCTTGACCATAAAAGGACAGAAGTTTAGCTTGGCCCTAGTCACTTTGGTCTTATACAGCAAGCTGGGTAAAACCCTCTCTGTAACTACAGTTTACATGAAATAAAAGACCTGACCTTTGATCATTCCAGGCTCTGCTTGGATTCAGCCAGGACTTTGAAAATATATTCCAGAGCATTGGCTCTCAGAGTAAAGGATTTTCTTCTTTCTGTATTGGCTAAAACATGTGAAATGTATGTAAATCTTTGGCTTTATTCAAGTCTGGTTTGGAATAACATGTTGCTGTGCTGGAGTGGAAGCACTGATTTCTGCATACTTTCTTGGGTAGGGCAGTGGTGTGTGCCTGTTTTTATCTGAAGGTAATTGCTTCCTTGTTTGAAGGCAGGGCGAAGGGTAGGAATGGTGAGCTTGCATGACTTCCTTGGTGGGAGCTAGTCCTTACAGGGAGCATATACAACACTAAGGATTTCACATGTGTGGGTTCTGGGTGGTGGCTTAACCAGGGCTCATAATCTCCCCAATACAACAGTCTCTTTCTGAATCACTCATTACATGTTGGGATCCAGTAGCACTTTTGAAAGCAGCAACCCAACTGGAAAGGCTTTGCTGCCAATGTTGATGTATGGGGCCACTGTTAAAACTCAGTGCACTAGGGGTGATTTACATGCCTAGGGATAATTTGCATCTGGGGTCTTGACCCCTCCCCAAATGCCTTGTTATTTCTATCCGATTTTAACTGATAGGCACAGGGCAGTTGGCTTGTTCTGACAGATAGCAACAGATACTTAGACAACCTGGGTGCTGTGATACTGAGACCCTCGGGAAATATCTATAAAAGCCTGAGGGAAAAAGCCAAACTAGAAACAAAAGCTGGTAAAGATCACAGGTGTAGACCTGTGGAACACAGAACATAATAAATCAGGGTAACTCATGCATATAATCTTTGCACTTGAGATGGCTGAGGCAGAAAGAAGCATCACCAGCCAGCCTAGACGTCAGAGCCTCAAAATGAGGATAGGAGAATAAGAGGCTGGGCTTTTTTATTAGAAAATTAAAGTAATCTTGGATTTTGAGATCTTCAAAAATTCTAGACCAGCATAAGAGAGCATGGAACCAGAGTGCAGGGTTTCTCCTGAGGAAGGTGGTCCCAGGCACTAATCTCAAGTCCTCATTCTTGGGGGTTAGAGAGCTGTGTCCTTGCATGAGCTACTGGTTACCCACTAGGATGTCCAGCCTTTTGAAAAAAAGAATTGAGATGACTTGCTGATTTTCTTGCAGTAACTGCATTGCCAATTACTCTCCATACAATCTCTTAAATAGCTTGGGGTGCTGCAGGTCAGGGATGATAGAGAACCTTCCACTCTTGGTGTCTAGGAGAGAGAAAGTCTCTGGGGTGAGAGCCACTAATCCCAAAGCATCCTTCATCTCATATTTGAGGAGCCAAAGAGCTTGGATTTCAGTCCTGCCTCAAATTGTACTAATGGAGTTCTCTCCAAGCTTGCTTTAGCACCCTAGGCCAGGGGTCCTTCCCTGGGGGTTAGTAGAGAGTTTGTTGGGCAGCTACTACAATAGTTCCCAGCTTCTTTGGATGGTGATGGAAGAGGAGAAAGGCTTGCAGTTTACGTTGTAGTTCCTGCCCCTTCACACTGACCTCAAGTCCTAATCTCTAGGCATGAGACCCAGGAGTCTGCTTCTATTATGCATCTCCCAGTGGGGTCATATGTCCAGGTAGTGGCTGCCCCAGTGTGATGCCCAGGTTCCAGTCCAGTTCAAACAGTGGGACTTCATTACGTACACTTTTTAGAGTGTCTCCTCCAGGTGTGGTCCCCCTACAGCTCTGCTGTGAGTGCCAGTCCTTCCCTGTCAAAACTGTCCCAAAGGAACCAGTCCTTAAGCCCAGCCACTGCATACTGCATAGGCACCCATTGTGAGCCCCTTGACTGGTCTTGTTGGAGGACATTAAATAATCTGAGTGTCAGGGAATATATATATATATATATATATATATATATATATATATATATGCATGCTGGGGGAGGGGTGTGGTGGATATTTACAAAGCAGCATTCGGCTGAGCAGCACCAGGGCCAAAGAAAAGTGTGTGGAGGGAGTGGGGCGGAGAGAAGGGTGTGCAGATGGGATGTGGTGGGCCCTAGTGTTGCAGATGCAGGAATGGGTGTCTTGGCCTTCTGGTGCTCTCCCTGCCCCTGCTCATTCCTACCTCTGCCCATCAGCAGTCATCCCATAAATGAGTAGGGTCCTCAAGGTTTGGTTCCAATGTAGGGGAATCTGATGCTGCAGAGGTGTTCTTAAAATCCTGCCCACATTTCTCTGATTCTCCAACAGCTGGCATATCGAAGGCATTTGTTTTTATATTAAATGACAGTGATTTTATTATTAACAATATAGTAAGAAAGGGTATGTTTGAACGTAACCTAGACGTTCTAGAGAAATCCATACCAACACTTTTTGGTCTTAAAAAAAAAATGATTCACATGACTTGTCTAATGAAAATGGCTGATTTTCTTGTAGTAACTAATGCTGGTCAGGATCTGATCATACAGTTTAAACTACTCGGGGTACTGGGAGGTAGCCCAGAACCTTCCACCTTAGTGTCAGAGAAGAAAGAATGGGAGGGACTTGAAACCCCAATCCCAATCCACTCTCTGATTGTGTTTGTTTGTTTGTTGTTCACCCCACCTCCCTTTTTGTAAAAGGAATAGAATTTTTCCTAGAAATGGAATACATGCAAGATAAATTTAACCTGACCCAAAACTATAGCCTTAATATGTATATGTTTCCTATTAGAGAGGCTGAGGGAGATTAAAACCTCTTGCAGAGAACCTGGGTTCCGTTCCCAGCACCCACATGGCACCTCCAGTTGCAGGGCACCTGGAACTGACCTCCATGGGCACTGAAAGCACACATGTGCTACATATGCACACATGTAGGCAAGACACTAATACACATAAAATTTAAAAAAAAAATTTAAAAAGCAATGGTTGTTCAAAGAAATTAGGCTGAGCAGTGGTGGGCGTACGCCTTTAATCCCAGCACTTGGAGGCAGAAGCAGGCGGAGCTCTGTGAATTTGAGGCCAGCCTGGTCTACAGAGCGAGTTCTAGGACAGCTAGAAACCCTGTTTCAAACAAACAAAAAAAAAAACAAAACAGGAGAGAGAGGGGGAGAGAGAAAGAAGGAAATTGATTATTCCAATCCCCCCACCCTTCAAGGAAAAACCCAGTCATTCAGGAACTTCCCAGCTTGGCCCAGTTCCAAGCTGGTCTCTGATAATGATTGACCTTGTGGGATGGTTCAGTTGTAATTGCCCCTCCCATTCATTTCACACTGGCCCTGCTTCCTGCCCCTGGCAGCCAGTTACTACATACTTTTTCTTTGAGATAAGCGTGTCTAAAATGTTTGTTTGTTTATTTATTTATTTATTTATTTATTTTTGAAGGCTATGGCCATTCATGGTGGTGGGAGATTCCCTGTTCACTGCCATTCTCCAGATAAAACCGACACAGATCTAGACGAGCACACAACTGAATGGTCTCATTTCCTGTGACTCAAGGCCATGACTGTGGCCTCTAACTGCACATGCCTTTCCAGTTCTCCTGTGAGCTTTGAAAGCTGCCGTTGTTTAAATTAGGATGCTTTTACTTGCTCAGGTCTGTAGACATTTATGGAGCCCTGGCCTTGAACTTAAGCAACATGCAATTCAGTAAAGACAGACACACTAGTAGACTAGAAGTGTGGACTCTAAAGTGAATATTGAAATTGTTAGAAAATTGGCTCCTAAATATCCTAAGAGTGTATAGCCTTTGATGAACACAGGTTTAGGATGGATGAGGATAAATAATTGCTATACCTAATTAGCAAGTCTCACTCCCTTCCAGGCAGTCTAGGATAGGGTGGGGGGATGGGTAATCACATTTCAACAGCAGTCAGTCATTGCCCACCTAAGAGAGAAGCACTTTATTTAATTCACAGCTACATTCCAAATAAAAACAGTATCAACATTGCTTTTCTCCTTAGGCCTGTGAAATTTTTCTTGTAGCAACCTTGACTTTGAAGAAATTCCAAAAGCTTAGATCAAAACCCCTTGGGATATTTATCTTGGCTTTGTTCCAGTGAGGTCAGGTATTCTAAAGAGGTTACTAAAAAGTTGGGACAAGGGGTAAGTTTCTAGACAGCATTAGTTCTCCGTGTGATATGGATTTTTTGATGTTGTTGTTTGGGTTTTGGGTTTTTTGTTTGTTTGTTTGTTTGTTTTTTGTTTTTTTTTTTCCTGGTATGTGTTTTTAAAACCACTGGGTTTTAAAGTATTCTGCTTCATTGTAAGGCTCCTTTGAGAAGTTGCTCAGAGAAAGGATAGTTGGATGAAATGTGGCATTCCAACTTCTGATCATACTGCTAGGAACTGTGGCTAAGCCTGGATAGCATGCAGTGAGCAAGTGTTCCTTCAATCAGCAGGTGAAAGCAAGGCGCTGAGTGCTAGAGCAGGGTAGAGCCATCATATGAGTGTGTGAGTGTGGTGTTGCTCCTATGTGAGGACTTGAGCTGGTTAGAGCTTGCAACACACTGGGAGATAGCTCACGCACGGCCCCAGACTTCCTGTCTGGAACCAGCACTTTAGTCCTGGCCTGTTTCTGAAGGTACCACCCTCACTTCCCCCTGGCTCTGAAGTAAGTGTCTCACTTTCTGCCTAGGCTGAAGCTGATGTAGCATCTCTGAACAGACGCATCCAGCTGGTTGAGGAGGAGTTGGATCGTGCTCAGGAGCGTCTGGCCACAGCTCTGCAGAAGCTGGAGGAGGCTGAGAAGGCCGCAGATGAGAGTGAGAGGTGAGGCTACACCATCCAGCTCCTGTGTACGCTTGCGCTTTCTCTCTCTCTCTCCCTCCCTCTCTCTCTCTCCCCACCCCCTCTCCTTCTCTCTTTCCACCCTCTGTCTCTTCTCCCTCTCTCTCCCCTCTCTCTTCCCACTCCCCCTCTGTCTTCCCTCTCCCCTCCTCTCTCCCTCTCTCTTCCCGCCTCCCTGCCGCGCGCGCACACACACACACACACACACACACACACACACACTGGGGTGGGGGCGGCATAGCAGTTAAGAGCATGCTCTTTTGAGGACCCTGGTCTGAGTCCAGCACCTATATGGCAAATCACAATTGTCTGTAGCTCTAGCCTTAAGGCTCTTCTGGCCTCTGCTAACCCCAGGCATGCATGTGATGCACTGACATACCTGGAAGCAAAACACCCAAATACATAAAATAATTTGTAAATATTATATATGTCTCAGATCTAGGGAAAGGCCCCATGGCAGCCAAACAGGTAGAAGAGAAAGCATAGATAAAACAGACATGGTCTATAGGCTCTGCGTAGGTGAAATGCTCTGTTTGGATTTAATACACGTACACACACAGACAGTCAGGTGCTCCTATGTTTTGCACCGACTCCTGCTGTAACCTGACCTGTACATAAAGACCACAGTTCACACTGGCCAGCTTTATTCATTTCTTTATTGTTGGTGTCATGAAACACCTGACAAGAAGCAGCTTATAAAAGGAAGGGTTTATTTTGGCTCGTGGTTCAAAGGGACACAGCCCATCCTGGTGGGCAAGTTGTGGTGACAGGAACATGAGGCAGCAGGTCTGGAAGCAGACAGAAATGGATGCTAGTTACTAACTTCCTCCTTTCTATTTAGTCAGGGACTCTTGCCTGTGGGATGGTGCTGCTCATAGTTAGCATGCCCCCCCCCACTAGCCCCATCTAGAAACTCCCTGGCAGGTGTGCCCAGAGGCTTGCTTACTAGGTGATCCCAGAACCCGTCAACAATCCGTTTTAACCGTCACATCACACACTAACCTCGTGCATTCTGAAAGGCTGTTTTAATCGTACTCTGCCACACAGGCCACGAAGTGTGTGTGTGGGGGGGGGGATGCTGCTGCATAAGACTAGAGCGGTTGAGGGGTGGCATAGCAGTGTGAGGCTAGAACAGTGCAGGTATGCCTTACCCTGCTGGGAACCGGGCAGGTGAAGGTCCATTTCTCCACCACTACTTTGAAGTGAACCTCTGCCCTCTGGCACTAGGTATCTAGAGTCGCTGCAGACTTTAGGGATAAGGAAGCTTGTTATTCACTAGCGCTTAGTTTTCCTTTACTAGCCAAAAGTGGTCTTGTGCATAACTTCTTCCTCCTACTGAACTTGACTTTCCTTCTTTGCCAACATATTCTTTTTTCCTCCCTCCCTTTCTCTTTTTCCTTTCTCATGCTAGACAGGGTTTCTCTGTGTATTCACGGCTGTCCTAGAACTCTCTAGGCAAGGGTGGCCTCTAACTCAGAGATCCACCTGCCTCTGCCTCCTAAGTGCAGGAATTTAAGGTGTGCACCACCACACCTAGATTTATCCATTTTCAACCCAAGTGTTTCCCTCAAGAAAAAGTAGAAGGGGGAGAATCTCTACATTTTAACAAATAAAGCCTAGTAGCTTCCCTTGTTTTCATGCTCCCCAGGTTCAAATAGGATCCTGACAGCACCTTCCACTTAAGAATAGGTGACTTGAAAGTTTCGCCAGTACCCAGAGTGCACCCAGAGATCTCATTTCAGTGAGCAGAGAGAAATAGCTGTCTTTTCTGGAAAGTTTTGCTCCGTGCTTTGGAAAATAAATGGCTCTCTGTTTGATTTTGGTCAGCTGTGTGCATGGAATCTTGTATCCCACAGTAGCAGTGGCCATCTCTCCATCTCAGGTCTTCCTGCTTGTCTGTCTTTCCAGGGGCATGAAAGTCATTGAAAGCCGAGCCCAAAAGGATGAAGAAAAGATGGAAATTCAGGAGATCCAGCTGAAAGAGGCCAAGCACATTGCTGAAGATGCTGACCGCAAATATGAAGAGGTCAGTTTCTGGGTCCCAGAGTCTTATCGACTCACAGCCATGACCTCGGGAGTAGGATGCTGTCTGGGTCCCTGGGTCTAACATTTAGCTCCCCTGATAGAAGAGGGTGGTTCTGAGAAACAGGGTTCCTTTACCTGCAGAAACTGGTTCTTACTGTGATAAAGCCAGCCAGTCATGTGCCCTGGGAAGAGAGATGAATACTTCCTCATACCCCAAGGCTCGGACAAAAACATCTTTAGCCAGGAAGAGGGAGAGCTGTGCCCTTAGAAAGGAAGCTGGCCTGTTGTCCTGGTACAGATGTTTCAGTTCAGACATTGTAGAGAACATGGACTGCAGAGCTCCTTGGGAGATTCCTAGAGGATTCTTCAGAGTGGTAGAAATCCTTTGTTAGCACAGGCTCTGTCGTCGGTAAAGTAGATCCTGGTGATTGTCCCTATGCAATGACAAGTGATGATGACAGCCAGTTTTCTTTCTGTATTTCAGTCATCAAGGGTGACCTTGCAGTCACCTCGCTTGCTCTTGTCTTCTGCACAGATCTCTGTGTGCTATAGTCCTTGGGTTTATTTTTGGTGTTCTCGGCAGCCCCTTCCTTTTCAGCCTAAAATGTCTCTTCATGTCTCATCATCCTGCTATTTTTAAGGTTGCAGATTTTCATATTTCTCTCATTCCGAGAATTGCTCTGGGTGCTGTGTAATTATCTAGACTCCACCTGGGAAGAGCTAACCATTCCCGTCTCTGAGCAGGGGCTCTGGTCTCTGCAGAGGGAGAGTTGGCCTGTCTCTAGTCTGCAGAAGGAGGAGCATTCCATTTGTAGACAAGAGTCCTTAGGGCCAATGGTTGTAATTTCTACCCTATAACCACCCCCTACACAAAGTACGCAAGACCACAGTGTATCTGCTGTGTTTGCCCTGCTGCAGGTGGCCCGTAAGCTGGTCATCATTGAAAGTGACCTGGAACGTGCAGAGGAGCGGGCTGAGCTCTCGGAAGGGTAAGCGGGCCCATTGCCACCACCTGTGGGGATGCTGCAGCGCAATGACTAAAAACAGCATGACCTTCTGGCAGCTGCACATTTACCCACCTGGGCTCCAGGCTCCTTGTGTGCTCAATGTGATGTGGATGAGCCATGAGCGTGGAACACGGAGGAACCATGTGGGGTGTCTGTGAATGCGTGTGGCACTGCATGCCTTACCTGCACTGATTTTGTGAATGGCCTTGTGCATTTCCTGTGTCCACTAACAGCCAAGTCCGACAGCTGGAAGAACAATTAAGAATAATGGATCAGACCTTGAAAGCATTAATGGCTGCAGAGGATAAGGTACTGATGGCTCACGTGTGGTTTTTAGGTTTAACTGCATCCCAGACAGCTTTGAGCTTCCAATGCCTACTGGTTGGTTTGGTGTAATGACTGTACCTTCACTACGCCCTCTGCTATTTATATCTTGCTTCAAGTGCTTTCTCTTGGTCCTTTATGCTCTTTGTTTTTCCCTTCATAAATACTCTGAGGGGTTGCCAATAAGAAGCCAAATTATCACACCTTGGAGTTGCTGGATTTTGTCCCTCTGCCCTTCCACCCACTGCTGCAATGGAAGGCAGAGCCCATGGCAACACCGAGCTTCGTGCCTCGTGATTTGGCTACTTAAGGCAGCCCCCCATCTCTAGGACTCAGTTTTCATTTTTTCCCATCCCTCTCCTTTTTTCTCTCCTCGCTCCTTGGGCTTGTCTCCCACCCTTTCTGCTTCTGATCGAAAACATTAGCAAATGTGCCGAGCTTGAAGAAGAATTGAAAACGGTGACGAACAACTTGAAGTCACTGGAGGCTCAGGCTGAGAAGGTAGGCCAGGAGCAGGGAATGGGGAAGACACCTTCTTAAGTGCTGCTCAAAAGAGGCCCTGCTGGTGAAAATAAAGGCACAGGAGGCATTTTAGCAAGTGGCATCACTTTGAGATGATTTCCTAATGGTTATTGGATAGTAGGACATTTTTGTTGTTGTTTTTAAAAAAGATCAGCAGAAAATGTATCTTATGTTGGATAAACCATCAGTTTAATTTAAACAAAGTGCCAAGTGGATAAGTTATCTCCCTCTTATCCCATGTAAAGCAATAGGCAAGAAAGCAGAGAATGTATTGTAGTGTGCCATGTGATACCTGAGGTTCTGTTACCTGCTAGGAGATCCCCAACATCTGTTGGTTGGGCTGGCACGTTCCTTGTGTGAGAAGGTGCGAGTGTGAGAGCCGCAGCCTGACATCTGGAACACTCTTTCTAATTACAGTACTCACAGAAGGAAGACAAATATGAGGAGGAGATCAAGGTTCTTTCTGACAAGCTGAAAGAGGTAATGTTATGAGAGCCTGGAGGAAACTGACTGGATTGTGATTAAGGTTCTGTGAAGTGGGTCAAGGCACTGTCCTTTGGAGTCGAATGGTCCAAGGCAGACATGTTCAGAGGTTTTCTTGTAGTTCATATACCGGGTTAGCTAGCTGCTGTCGCTCACAGTAGGGGCTGAACCTGACATTTCCTGGGTGACATACACTTGAGGTCTGCCCTCTGGTTTTCCTCGAATCTGCAGCTACTGGATGGAATCTCCCTGACCTTGACTCAAATGAATTAAATCATTACAGGCTGAGACTCGGGCTGAGTTTGCAGAGAGATCAGTAACTAAGTTGGAGAAAAGCATCGATGACTTAGAAGGTAAGGTCTTTAACATTTTAAATTCAGTCCTTGATGAATAACCGTTGATAAAGCAGTCATCCGATCTGAAGGCTTCCTCTCTGATGTTCCTTTTTGTTCTCACACTTCCTGTCTGGCTCTCCTCCGGGGTTCTCATCTCTGATACTGGAACTCTCAGACCCAAGTCTTCAGCTCTTGGGGTGACTAGTTAGCCACCAGACCACTTATGTCTAATGTCTTGGACTTCAGAAGGGGGTCTGGTCTGTTTTTTACTGAGTGAAGTAATTCCAGATGAATGTGACTCTGGTATATTTTGTGTCTCTGGTGATATTTCCTAGTTGTCAGAACAATGTGGATTTGTTTTAGACACACCATCTTCCAAGTGCGTGCCCAGAAGGGCTTTTTTTTTTTTAAGCCATTTATTAGCAAAATATTCTGAGTCATGAAAGGACAGAGGGTAGGAATCAATAGGGCACTGAGTCTCAGGATCACACTTTAGCATTTTTCAAAACAAAACTGCAACAAAAAGAAACAAAAGAACACCATACATCATGGGCAGAAGGGGTTGAAGGAGGGACTGAAGGGTGGTGCAGTTAATTACCAAGATAGCAGCCAGGCATGGGAGCACTCACCTTTGATCCCAACACTCAGAAGGAAAAGGCAGGTGGTGCTCTGTGGATTTGAGGCCACTCTGGGTTATATAGCAAACCCCAAGCCAGCTAGCAAGACTATGTCTGAAAAAGAAACAGCAAAGACAAATAACAACAAAACGAGACTGGAGTGTGGGTGCAAGCCTGCCAATGTATGGCAAGGCACAAACAAACCCACCACCATTACAAAAACTCAACTGTAAGCAAGCCCCAAACTGTGACTGCCTTTGCTTTTCAAACTTCTGGTACCAGCAACAGGCAGCTTGAGAGAGAGAACCATGAAAAAAAATTAAGTGCCATCAAAAAGTCAATATCCCATTGTCTGGCTTGGGCAAGAAGCGAGTGGTTTGAAGACTGTCATTGGAAATTGAACTTGTTGCCTTTGGATAACCTCCCCCCACCCCCACCCCCAGAGCTTACAGCTGCAGGTGGCTGACTACTCCAGTGTAAATAGAGAGCTTTGTGAAAAGAAAGATGTTCCATTACTTACCAGGGGACCCGTCATTGGTATTACCTACTGCTCGTGTTGTGTTTTTCATATTGGGTCTTTCTTGTTTTATTTTCTAATGGGTTTTTGTTCTCTTTGTTTTTGTTTCGATTTCTTTAAAAACAAATCGCACGCCTCCTGCATTGGCCATCTGCTGCGGCACCAACCCCTTCATGCATTGCCCTTTCCTTGCTGACGTGTCGGGATGGCATCCGCGCCGCCCTTGCTCACCCTCCATCTCTTGACCATTCCCCATGTCCTTGCATCTCTGCCTTCCACTTCCTGCTCATAGACGAGCTGTATGCTCAGAAACTGAAGTACAAAGCCATCAGCGAGGAGCTGGACCACGCTCTCAACGATATGACTTCCATGTAAATGCTCATGCACCCTGCCTGCTCGCACCCTTACCCTCATGCTTGTGTGATGAACTTACCACAGCTCCCTTCTCAGTCTGTGGTTTCCAGTTTTTGCACCTTTCGTTGGCTCTCTCGCATAGCCTAGGGTAGCCATGGTCTTTTTAACATTGTACTAACAAAGGCCAAGTGGATTCAGTCCTTGCAAACCAGTTCAGATTCCTTTTATTCCATAAATTCAGATCTGACTTCTTTCTGCTAAGAGATGAACTGGACTCTAATGGCCCTGAGAACTATCGCTTTAAAACATTAAACCAGACTCAGATAAAAAAAAAAAAACTAGAAGGCCATGATGCAGTGGTTCAGAAAGTTAGGAAGAAATACCAACTTGTTCCCTGGGATTCTGGGAAGTACAATGTGGTCATTTTCACTTAACACTGTTAAGTTTAAAGAATCAGATTATTGAAAATCTGAGGAAAAGAAAATGAGCATGGCACAGTACACAGCTCTCCCTCCCTATAGTGAATTCAGAGCATGGCCAGGAGTGCGGGTACATGGCTTTTATCCCAGTACATGGAAGAAGCAGATATATCTCTTGAGTTTGAGGCCAGCCTAATCTATAGCAAGTTCCAGACCAGCCAGGACTATATAGTGGACCTGTCTTTAAAACAAATTTTTAAAAAATAATTCCAGAGTAAAAATGAATGGTCTCCTGAGGAACCAAGTCTTATTTGCTGTGTTTATTATTAAATTAAAATACCCCATAGTAAATACTTGCTATAATCAACATCAGAGAAAAAATAAAAGCATTTATACAATATGAATTTGGAAGTTAATGGTCCATATTTTGCTCATGTTGGCCTACATGTAGACATACATGACTAATTTGCATATTCCTAACACCTGTGCCACTTGTGATTCTAACCCCTGGAATGTTTCACAGAGGGCTTTTCATTCTAATATTGCTGGGTTCCATCAAAGCTGGGAATGGTATTTCTTTAACTGTTCAGAAATATAGTAGCTTCAGGAGCATGACATGTGCCTGCCACCTTGGAGGTTCCAGAATATCCTTTAGAAACCTGGCTATTGCCATAGAAACAAGGGCATGCCTCTTCTCCGCCATTAGTAAATGAAGAGTGGAACCAAGCCATCTGTAGCCACCTGTGGCCACCATTCTCCCCCGTGCTAAAATGTGATGTTCCATGGGGAAAACTCTTGAGTGTGATGAAATGTCCCAAAAGGAGGCTTTAGTTTAAGTGGTGTTTTTTTTTTTTTTTTTTTTTTTCCCCTAGTTTTGTTTTGTGTTGTTTTTTTTTGTTTTGTTTTGTTTTGTTTTTCCAGACAGGGTTTCTCTGTGTAATAGCCCTAGTTGTCCTGGAACTTGCTCCGTAGACCAGGCTGACCTCGAATTCACAGAGATCCGCCTGTCTCTGCCTCCCAAGTGCTGGGATTAAAGGCATGCACCAACATCGCCCAGTTTAAAGATTTTAAGATATCCCTCAAGGCTGGCACATGACAGCCGTGGATCCAGGTAGTAGATGCCAGGGATGGCCTCCCCTAGGTGCAGCTGGCAGTGTGTTTTACATACCTTAACACTTGCTTTGGGTTTTTACATGCCTTAACACACTTGCTTGCATTTCACATACTGCTATTATCCGTGTGGTTTTCTTTTTTTCTTTTTCCTTTTCCGTTGCACCACTTTTTCTTTCTCTTACCTTTTGTTTCACACAGATAAGTTTCTTTGCTTCACTCCTCCCAAGACTCCTTCATCAAGCTGGATGTCCCACCTCTCTGAGCTCTGCATCTGTCTGTTCTCCAGCTGCCCCAGGTTTCCTTTTAACGCCCACCTTAGGGCCAGGCACATACTGTGCTTTCTATTGTACAGGAGCTATTCACCCAGTGTAAAATAAACACTGTAAGCTGTTCCTCTTTGCTATTCTTTTACTCCTTATTTATTGATGTTTTTGTGTCAACGCTGAATAAAACTATAGTTCTGCTTCATTCATCAAAGGGCACATTTTTTCCCCTGCATATATGCTGACATCAGGACTTTTTAAAGTAGTAGTTCCTTGTGTAACTTTTAAAAATATTACCTGGATGTTAGGTACTGGAGTGAGGCCCAGGTACCTATGGTTTTAGGAATTGTGATGGTATGACAGTTTGGGTTCAGAGCTTTCACACAGTAGATAGAGGGAATCCAATTCTGGCTTGAGCGATGTTTTCTTCTGCCAAAAGTTTAGTTTGGGGTGTGGCACTCTTTCTGTGCTGATGCGGAGATAGCTCTGCCTGGCTAAGTAATGGGAGTCTGTGAGGCCATCCTGTACTCTGTAGCTAGGGAGTTTGCATAGAATGAAAAACTAGGATTGTAAGTCATGGTTATGTATTGGCTTTTTATAGCACAGAGTGAGTTGAAGCTTTTTTCTTTAAATATATTTATTACACAGATATTTCATTCTGGACACAAATCTCATTATAGAGTTTCTAAATATTAACTGTATTTGAGTCATGGTTTACTTTTGTGTTCCGAAGCACATATAGTCTGCAGAAGGTATGTTTACATAAGATGAGGTTCCCCCTCGTTTATGAGCCATTGCAGTTGATTTACGGCCCACCCACCCCAAGAAACAATGTTTTATTTCAGTCACAAACAGCAGTTTCATAACTTTTATTTAAATAGAATTAGGACTTTAAAACAATGTGATCTCTAGGTGGGATAGTGGTGGTACACACCTTTAGTCCCAGCCCTGGGGAGACAGAAGCAGGCAGATCTCTGTGAGTTCAAGGCCAGCCTGGTCTACAGAGCGAATTCCAGGACAGTCTCCAAAGCTACACAGAGAAACCCTGTCTCAAAACAAAACAAAAACAATGTGACCTCTAGCTTCTTAGCTCTTAACATGAGTCTGGCTCCATCCCTGTATTTTAAGCATGGTAGCCCTCCTCTGTCCTATGTGTGGTACCTATTAGCCTAATAGGGCTGGCATACTACTCTCCTCAAGTAATTTTGGGCAAGCTCTGAAGATAATCATTTACTCTGAAGTAGAGAGCATTTTCTTTTTTTAAACAAAGGGTCTGAGTGAAAATATTTTAGTTAATGACATGGTAGACTCTAATTTTATGATTCAGGCAGTGTCTCTCCACTGAAGGATGCAAAAGCTTCTGCAGTTTTCTGGGTTTTGGAGTTTGTTTGGGTTTTGTTGTTATTGTTTTGTGGGTTTTTGTTTGTTTGCTTGCTTTTGTTTTGTTTTGGTTTTTTTCCCGAGGTTCCTTGGGCCCAATTCTCAGTGATTTTGAACCTTGTTCTTTTTAAAGTTCAGAGTAACAGCAGTGCCCTTTTCCTGAGCCTTCTGCCACAGAGAAAATAAGACTCTTGGAGTTTCTCCAAGTGGACGTTAATGTATCTTAGGATACAAATTTCTTGACTCTTCACAGAAATTTCTCAAACCTATGAGTGTTCACTGTGAGGGAAATAGTAACAAATGAACTATGAAGGCAGATCCATAGTAGCTTAGGGTGTGTACATCAGGAGCACAGACAGCAAGTTGAGTTGATGGAGACTCTGTTCAGCAAGGGCCAGCCTGTATAAGCAACTCTTTCAAGAGCCTCAGTTGAACCATACTGACAGCATTGCCAGCTCGGAGACCAGAAGCCTCCAGGCAACTGGGGTCTATGCTGAGCAGGAGGGAGAGCACTTACAAATGTATCTGACCCCTGCTCTCAGGTCATCAGCCCATCAGCTCCCTTGCAGCTAGAATGAACAAGGCCCAAAGGAGGTTGGGTTGGGGCACACTGCCATTTACACCCCAGTTGGCCTCTGGATTCTCTAGGGTTTCTCCAGTGTTCTGTTCTAGATGGCCAAGCATTTGGGCTCAGCAAATGGGACAATCCTACCTACTGCTCATGGTGGCAATTTCCCATGATGATGTAGTAATGGGGTTTCCATTTTGCAACTTCTAAGTCTATGGGAGACATTGGAAGGGTAGCAGGGTAGAAAAAGGACTGATCTGGGTGTGTTCTTCTAAGCTGGTGGTGTGGGAAGAGAGGAATGGGGTGAGTCTACGCTGGTAAACATTGTGTGTTTGAAGCCAACAGAGACCGGAAAGTCTCCTGGGCGCTGCCTGGAGGAGGTGACAGCCCTGTGAAGTTTTGAGTATTCAGAAAATGTAGATAAGAAGAAAAGGCCTGGGTTAAACATAGTTCTTCATAGTACACAACAAACACGGAGCATAGCAACTCCCCCACCTCCTACCATTTCCCAGCAGTCAGTGCTGAGGCTGATCACTAGGGCAGTAGGATTGTTAGCTTTCCAAGATCATCAGATAGGATGCCCAGATCCACAGAGTCCCCCATCATTCCAAGCAGTCAGTCACACACACCCCACTTTTCCTAGTGTGTGCTGGTTTCTTTGTCACACCTGTCCCCAGGCTGAGTCCTATGGTGGACTGCTTTGCCACCTGAATGGATTACATAGTAGTAAATAAACCTGTGTCACACTGAGCAAGTGAGGATGGTTGGGGGTCTTATTGGGGGAGGGGTTCGCATACCACAGTGTACATAGGGAAGTCAGGACGCCTCGTCGGTTGTTCTCTTTCCACTGTATAGAACCTGGGGATCAAACTCTGTGGTCAGGTTCTTTGACAAGAACCTTTTCCTGCTGAGTCATCCTCCTGGCCCAGTTTTATTTATTTTGTGCATGCTGTCAGCACACAGCATGAATGTCATCCTCTGGAAGCACTCAGATAAGTTCTGAATCAGTGTGGAGTAGAGATAAATACTTGTTTGCTGTAGGGTAACACACAGTATGGAAGTTGGAGGAGAGTTCAGACTTTGTATGTCCCCCTGGTGTCTAGGGGGAGAATGGGGAGTTTTTTCAAAACATGTTCACGGGGCTCAGCACCACCCTGTACCCTGAGCAGAGAAGATGGGGTTCAGGAAGAGTGGACAGCAGTGGGCAGTCAGGGGCTCACCTAGAATCTCTGTTGAGCTCTAGCAAGGCATGAGTGGCAGGGGCTGACCTCCAGTCTGTCCTTAGTTCCCAAATCTGTTTTTTGAGACAGGGTTTTTCTGTAGCTTTGGAGCCTGGCCTGGAACTCACTTTATAGACCAGGCTGGCCTCGAACTCACAGTGATCTGCCTGTCTCCGCCTCCCAAGTTTTGGGACTAAAGGTGTGTGCCATCACCACCAAGCCACAGGGTGGTTTTAATGAGGTACAAAAGGAACATGGGTCCCTTCCCTCACCCTGGACCTCTTTATGTCTTTTCTAAATCCGTGTCAACACCCAGCCCTTCATTCTGCCAGGACTTGCCATGCACCCTCGCAGGGCTCAGGGTCAGGGAACGCCATTGCTGCCCTGTGTATCCGTGTTTTCTAGTCTGTTAACTGCCTCTCACTGACTAGAGCTAACCTCTTCCTTCTGTCTCCTCTTTTCTGCTAACCCTTGCTGACCTGTCCAGATCAACTCTACCATCAACTCGAGCAAAACCGCCGCCTAACTAACGAACTAAAGCTGGCCCTGAATGAGGATTAAAAACTTGTGTGTACAAACTTGGGCCGAGTTCTAGGAATGGAACCCATGTACAGGAAATCTGTGATTCATGGGGTTGAAAACAATCACTTTCTGCAGAAATGGGAAGGAAAGGCATTGGTTGGAAGGCTGGCTTTCCCTTGTTTTCCTCTATGCATCTCAGTGAAATCCTCATTAGCCCCAAAAGTTTTTACGGTATATTATGTATATGTGAAAATATTTATACCAGTCAATTCAGCCCTTCCTGCATCAACAGGTCCTCTTTGAACTGGCTGATAATGAGGATCCCTCCTCCCCCCCCCACCCCCCGCAAAAAAAAAAAAAAGAAATCTTTTTTCTATTTCCTTAAACAGCTGTGAGTCCTGCTTTAAATATCTATTACAAATTTGTATTCCTAACATCTCCATAACATGTATAGTGTTTGAAATGTGATTCAATGTACCTATGCTTGGGCAAATAGCTTTTGAAAACAGGAGCTCATCAGAAGTCCCTGGTTGAAAGGTATGCTTTGTTCGGTTTAACGGTGTTGGAATCTGATGAGTGTCATGCTAATAAGTAGGATACTATAAAAACACTAAGAGAATGTCCTAATGAAGTGTGCATGAGATGTGTTGATAACCGTTTGTGAGCAGTAGAAATAAGCCATTTAAAAAGCGGTCAGAAACCTATTTATGTCATCTTTGTTTCTGTGAGGTTGTGTGCTTACACAGCTACCAGATCTTTAACTGTCTATAACTCAGAATCCTGTGCTGATATTAACTTCAGTTTGTGTAACAGTACTGTACCTGTATTTGGTTTTTACCTCCCCCCCCCCCTTGTTCCCACAGCACGCAGTGTGTGCACCTTCACCAAACACTCCCTGCATTTTAGGGTGGATGGATGGTGGGGGTGCACCCAGGGCCTTGTCTGGAAATGAGTGATGTCTTACGCATGTAGAGTGCTACTCCTCTTCTGTGTGTGGGATTGATGTTTGCTTACTAAATGGACAAACCACTACTGAGTCTGCGGAGCAGCTATTCATGACTTAATTTTCTAATCCCATCACAGAGAAAGTGGCTCATGCCAAAGAAGAAAACCTTAGTATGCACCAGATGCTGGACCAGACCTTGCTGGAGCTAAACAACATGTGAAAACCTCCTTAGCTGCGGCCACACTCTTTCATTTCTCTCTCCTTGTTTTATTTTGTTTTTAAACACCTGCTTCCCAGGGAACTCCTTCGATGCATTTTTATATACTTTTAACCACTGTCACCGAAACAACTGCAAAGAACCAGCTAGGGCAGGGGTGGGAAAGACACACAGAAAGGCAAGCCCAGTCTGGGGCACTTAAACTTAACCGTGCCACTTCCGGGGTTGACATCGCCACACTTCATAGCGTTTAGGCATGCAGTCTGCTTAGCCAGGGTAGGAAGCCTCACAAGCAAACAGAAAGATTTCCAGCCAGAGTGCCAAGGTGGAGGCAGAAGGAGACTGATGTTGGAGACAATCAGGTGCGGGTTGGTGCTACTTGAAACAAAAGGAACCCTGGGGGTCTTTTGTTCGATGTTATACAATTAGATTTCTCTCCAACACTAATTTATTTTGTTTTTAGTTTTACTGCTTTGAAACAAGACTATGGGTTTCTTACGCCTGTGTTCCTTAAAGTCAAGGGTCTGGAAGCCACACTGGTCTTTTTAAGAGTCCCATTCCTTCCAACTGACACACTTGCAGCCCCTTCCAGCTCATCAGGGGGAGCATTCAGTGTGCATTGCCCCGCTTTCCAGTTCTCCATGTCAGGGTAAAAGATCTAGGCACTACATACATAATTGGTAAAGGCATTTTCTTAAGAATTATAACTATATGTAAACATTGTATAATGATATGGAATAAAATGCACATTGTAGGACATTTTCTAAATCTGGTGGTCCTGTCATTTTGTTTGTTGTTGTTGTTTTTAAACTTTGGGAATTTTAGGCAGTGATTGACCTGCCTGGTTGCTTGCAGTGATGTTCCAAGCTAGATCCCCTGGTTACCCTCTCAGCAAGGATTTAAGTGTGTTGAAGTGGAAGCAGTCAGGAAAATCCCTTTCCAAAAGTTGTTTTCCTTTTACAATGAGCTTACTGCTATGGGTTTTCTCCTCAAATGGTAGCTAAGTCTTAAACAGTGATGGGTTCACTTCTCAGTTCAAGCAATGGTGGAGTGAAGTACCAAATCTATGACTCTGCTTTGCTTTGAGGAGCTTTGTGATTTTCTGTTTTCAAGTTCACATGAGTTCTCCACTTCAATACATCTTCATTTTCTCAGGATTAAGAGACTGAAAATGCTGTTTTCTAGCTCTTGAAGACACTAAACTAACAGAAACGGATCAGAAACAATAACAGTTAGCGCCAGTTTAAAGGGGCTGGGGGTGGTTCTCACCAAAAGCAAACACAGTGGGCTGTAAAGCCAAAATTCACTTCATGCACAAATAATGTTGTGTTTCACAGGCATGAACTGTCCTGATTGTATGGCCAAGAATGTAAACACGAGCCCAGAGACCTGGCTATCCTATCTATGTAGAACGCTGTTCCCTTACCCTAGGTAAATAAAGTGCTGTGAATCCCAGCCTTCCGGTGTTCCGACATCCCCAGCTCCTGCTGCTCTGGTGTGGTCATGGAAGTCCCTAAACACAGCACTCCCCCTTCAGATCTGGCTTCCCACCAGGAGTTGGTGGGAAGGGCCTCAGCCTAAGGTATCACACACAGATGAAGTGAGCACAGTCCTCAGTCTATCACATGTCCAGAAAGAAGACCACCACCAGGGTATTTAAGACCACCTTTGTGAAGCTAAGAGAACCCTCACTTTGCCCTGGATAAGGGTAACTGTTACTGTTCTTGGATAGCATGTTTTATGTGCAATATAGTCTATGTATACCTTACAAATAGTGGAAGAGCAAGTCAGGTATTCAGAGCTCCACAGTGCACAACTGATGGCCAAGACCTCAGACTTTGGCCTGGGGACACCAAAGTTCAATTTGGATTCTCATGCTGTTATAAACATGTCACAGCAACAGAAAATTGGGAGAAGTTGCAGCAACAGATAGATATAGGAGAGGAGCCCCAGAAGATGTAGGTGTGGCCTGCCAGTTAGCAGCAGGCATAACTGTGAAGGTGTGTGGCTTAACATCAGACCTCTCTTGGGTGTCTGAGATCAGTTCTCCGAAGTATCCTGCCAACTCAATTATTTCCACATCTTTCAGATTAAAATAAAGGAACAGCATGTCTCCCCATGGCACATGCCTTGGGTCTGAGCCAGTGTGATAGCCTCTGGGCAGGCCCCCCTGTGAAGCCAGGGTAAAGAGATTAGGACTCTGACATAGCAGAGCCAGGCTGGAACACGTGAAGTGTAAAGAGGATTCAAGAGCCATACTGTGAATTCTACTGCTGAGACTGCAAGCGGAAGGCTGTGGTAGATGAGTCAGCTGTGAACTAAGAGGAAGGCTGTAGGTGACGATCTAAGCACCTCCAAGACAAACTGAACGCGAGCGCTCCAGAGTCTTCAGGGGGAAGGAAGAAGGAAAGCAGCAGCACATTGTGGGTCCATTCTGAACTTAAAGCTGGTAGTGAACAGAACAGTTCCTCTACTGACTGCTCCCGGGGACTGTTAGAAAAAAAATAAAACCTGCCTGTTGTGAATGCTGGAGCCTGGTTTTTGCTTTTCTCCATGAGAGAATTTTTTACTTGAACAAATACTTGAGTGTGTTACCAGTTGTTTCAGCTTGTCAACACTATATGTGTTGTACATAGAGGAAAAAATATAAATTCTCCAACCAAAACAAAAAACACTAGTAGATTTGGGGAGCCGTCCTTTCCAGAGGTGTGAATGGGTTTGGAAACCTAATATGGAATGCCAGGCAACACAAGGAGTGTCCCCTCCTGTCACATATGCTCTGACATTGAGGGTTTTCATAGCTACATTCCTCCAAGAGATGGCATAAAGTTTGTGTGTCACACAATGAATGAGGCTGTATTGAGCGTTTCCTAGTATGAACACAACTTTGTCAAGTGTCTGACAGATGGGCACTGACCCAAAGGATAAGGCTGGTTCTTGCTGCCTATGAGAGTTCACTTTCCATCTGCTGCCAAGCCTGGGAGAACAAAGAGTCGAGTCAGGGCCTTATCAGAGCCTGCCAAGGCTGGTCCCCTGTACACAGATGCTGAGACTGGGCTCTGCCTCCTCCGAGGCTTGGTACCCATTCAAGGCCACTTGGCCAGTTATTCCCACTCAGCAGAAGACCTGGCTGCTCCTGCTCCTCATGTCACAGTGAGACCTGGTTAATGTGACCATTACATGTCTTTATCCTTTAGGGAAGTGATTTCACCCCTTATGTGCTGTGAACTTCCTCAAGGCGAAGGGCACAATGATGTGATGAGTGTACAATGCCACTCGGTCCCTTGTCTGTTCCTCAGCTCTGTACCTTATGGAAATGTCAAGGCAACTCTTCTAATAGAAGTCCCTGGCTGAGGAGATAGTCAGTGCAATGCTTGAGGGCCATTCCCAGAACCCACATTAAGGAGGGGGCAGGGAGTAGATGGAGAGATGTTTCTATCCTTTTAGGGGGCTCCTGTTTGATTCCCAGCACCCACATGACAGGTCACAACCATCTATAACTCCAAGTCCATGAGTGTTTTGGGTTCTGTGGGTACCATGCATACAAGTGGTGCAAACATACATGCAGACAAAACCCCTACATATAAAAAAAATTAAAACCGGGTTAGTCTCCAGGACTGCAATGACACACACAAATAAAATTTAAAAAAAATTAAAACCCAGACACAGTGGTACACACTTGGAATCACAGCTCTGGGAGGTAAAGACTGGTAGATCCCTGGAAATTTCTGGCCGATCAACCAGGCCACTGGGGGAGGGGGGAGAAGGGTCATTGCTGAGGAATGACAGCTGAGATTTATTCCTGGCCTACACACACACACCTGCTCTTGCCACACGTACCTGGATACACACACAAGAAATAAGGTTCACTAGTGCTACCACTATGGCTAACACCTTTTGTGTGGCTATAGTGCCCCACGAAAGGTAAAAATTCATTTGTTGGTGAGACAAATGGCCCAGAATGAAAACACAGGGAGTGACTCATTCTGTGACATACATTCAGACTTCACTTCTAAGCAAAGCACTGGCCTTTGGAGACATGGTTCTGGGTCTCTGGTCTCTGCATGTGGGCCAGCTAGCTACTCAGTCTTCTAACACTGCTTATGACAGCTAAACTTTGTTGTTGGAAAACAGGAGCCTCTCGATTGAAGAACTACCTCCATTAGATGGGCCTGTGGGCAGGTCTGATGGGGGCGCTTTCTTGATCGTAGGACGGTCCAGCCCGCTGTGGGTATTGCAGGTGGGTCTGGGCCATGGAAGTAGCTGAAAGGTGAGCAGGAAGTTCCTTGGTCTCAGCTACTAGTTCTACCCACAGGATTCAGTCTTGAGGTCCTGCCTTGGCTTCCCTCAGTCATGTATTGCAACTTAAAAGTGTAAACTGAAGTAAGCCCGAGAGGACCCAGGCCACTTTTGGTCAGTGTTTATCACAGCAACAGGAAAGCAAATCAGGCACTGCGGGCCTGGCAGTGGGTATCCAAGGGAGCAGTTCACAGTTTTTCCTACGGGAGCTGTAAGGCAAGATGGATGTGGGACTCTGGATCCAGATGAAAGCTTTTCTTTGGCAGAGGAGCAGCCCATGACGATGGCTTCTAATTTATTTTCAACTCAGTGTTGATTTAGAATGCTACTTTCCCTGTGGAACTCTTGTTTAGAATCTAAGATCAAGTATTAAAGTTGCCAGTGCCTACAACGGAATGATAGAGCCTCTCTACCTCCAGTGACCCTCACTTTGATACGCTGACCACATCCAAACCAGCTTCATCCCAAGCTTACTTCCCCTATGAGAACTATAGTTCACTATAGTAAAACAACCCCCAAAGAGTTATTAAGGACATCGTCACCCAAAGTGAGCCCAACACTGGGCTTAAAAGAATCCTTTCGGACTGTTGCTGGGAATTCAGTGACCTGCATAGATCTGAACTCGGTACTCAGGAGGCAGGACTTTTGTTCTGAGGAGCATGCTGGAGTCACTGGGAGCTAGAGGGTCTGCATCCTGGGGCCCCCGAGTCAGCCAAGTGTAACTAATGGTGGTGTGGTGGGCGTGAACCCCGCCATTGTATTCCTTTCTTGATAGCTATATAGACCTTTCTTTCCAGAGATTTCACTGCTACCAGCCTAGCCCTTTCACAAGAAATTCAAAAGGAACAAAGGTCAGGCTGACCAGAAACAGGAATGTAATACGTGCAAAGAAGCTTCAGGGGAGACTGCCAGTGGGTGAGCTGTTTGCTACACAAGCCTGAGGCCCCGCGTCTGGATTCCCAGCACCCAGGTAAAAATCAGGGTGTAGTGGTGTGTGCCTGTAATCCCAACACAAGGGAGGTGGATGCATGGGGATCCATGGAGCTTGCTGGCCAATCATTCTAGCTAAATCAGTAAGCTCAAGGTCCAATGGCAGAGCCTATCTCATAAAGTAAAGATGGGCAGTGATACAGAAGAGCACTCATGTGTGAATGCACAAACCCACATGCCTTACTCTAATCTCTTGTTCTGCTCACTTAGGCATAGAAAGGGCACCAATGTTGTCTGCTATTGGACAGGAAGTATATATTGGAAATAAGCTGCATAATTTGGCCTAAACAACTAAGAATCAATTCCTGTTCCCATTTAAGAACAGGATGCATTGTGTTAGATTGGAAGTTATAAGACACAGAAATAGGCTGGGCGGTAGTTGTGTGCGCCTTTAATCCCAGTACTCAGGAAGATCCACTGGGATGGGTCTCTGTGAGTTTGAGGCCAGCCAGATCTACAAAGCAAGTTCT